GTAATTTTATTCTCCACTCTATTATTTTTGAGATTTTACAATCTCCATGTCCATTATCTGCTCATTTCCAAGATAAGATCTATTGGGGTTTATCGAGCCATGATAAGTTCTTTACTAAGGTTGCTTTTGATCTTATTTCTTTTCCTAGTTCTAGTTGGTCCCATTCTCTTCACTAGAACTAGATATGGAAGTTAAATCTTCCACAAAAGATAATTCAGTTTTTGTGGACTGTTCAACATGATAGGCTTCTCACAAATAATCTTAGAGCTTCAAGGAACATGGCTAGTGATGCCTCTTGTACTAGATGTCACCACCCGGCTGAAACATCCTTGCATGTTATCTTTGAGTGTCCCAAAGCACAAAGAGTTTGGAATTTTTTTGATTTGACCCAAGGAGAGGATGTCAATCAGCTAGGGGGCTTCAGAGTTGGATCCTCTTAAATTTTAAACTAAGAAGGAATAAGGAATAGAAAGGAATTAACTGACCCACCATGTGTGCATGTATCTCACGGTGTATATGGAAGGATAGGAACAAGAAAGTATTGCGAACAATTCCACGCTTCCTAGATTAGTTGTTAGGGAAACATGACTTCTAGCCTTGGACACTGTCAAGGCCTTCCAAAATTCTCTTTATGATTCTTCTAATTGTTTTCCTTGTCTTATTGCATGCACTTTCCCCCACACAGGCCGGAACAAACTGAACACGGAAGGATGCTCAAAAGGAAATCCTGGCCTTACTGGAGTGGGATGAGTTATCAGGAATGATCAAGGGAGATGGATTGCGGGCTTCTACGGAAAGATGGAGGATTCAAAAGGCCTACAAGCTGAATTATAGGCAATTCTCAAGGGGTTGGAGCTGGTGCAAAAGAGGAACATCATTCGTATCACTGTGGAAACCGATTCTATTGAAGCTGCTAAGCTTCTGTCCAAGGACCCGGATGACACTCGTCCCAACAGACTTGTCATTTTACAATGTAGAAGACTTGTGGAGATTAACAACATACCCATTGTCTATACCCTTAGAGAAGGAAACCAGTTTGTTGATCTTTTGGCTAATCTTGGGGTCCGACAATCTGTTACTTTTGTGGAGCTGGAGGAGCCCCCTCCCCAGTTAGCTAATTTTTTGTTAGCAGATATGGCCAATATTGCCTTTGCTATGAACTCTATTTAATGTCTTGTTCATATATCTTTCTGATGTACCAAAAAAAAATATATAGGAAACATGCAGGGTCGGCCAAGAATATATGAAGCTCTTAAGCAACAAAATTTATATGGGCCCTAAATTATTTTAGGGAAATTTGGAGACCAGCCCTTTTATATAGAGTTGTTTGGACTTAAGTTCGTTAAAAAAACTTATTTGTTATGAAGTCCGTTTTTTTATCAGTTTTACCATATTATCCCTTCCCTTTATAAGTGAAATAAAACTAAAATTAAAAACTCCTAAATCTTAATAGTTTAACTAACATTAAAATCTTTTTTCTCTCATATCTATCTATATCCATATATAGGTTAAGAGTTTGACTAACATTAAAATTTGTCCTCTTTCTTATCTATCTATATATAGGTTATATATATGTATATATATAGTAACATTAAAAATAAAAAATAGTAACATTCAAATACAACAAAAAAATTATCATTTGGACACAAAAAATAATACATTTAAACACAAAAAAATAGTAACATTTAAACATAAAAAAAATTGAAACATTCAATATTACAATTTTTAAAAAATAACAACAATAACATGTTGAACAAAAATATTAACATGTTCAACCAAAAAAGTAATATACTTAACAAAAACTGTAACATATTTAATAATAATTATTTCTCTCAAATTTAAACACAAAAAATAATATCATTCAAATACAAAAAATAATAATATTCAAAAAAAAATAGTAACATTGAATATTAATATTTAGAAAAATAATAGTTGTAGCATGGTCAACAAAAACAGTAACATGCTCAAAAATAATAGTACATGAACAATAACATACTCAATAAAAGTAGTAACATGAACAGTAACAAGAAAAAAAAATAGTAACATGAATTTGAATTTTACTATTCAAATTCATAGTAACTTTTGTTTTTGTACTTGAATGTTACTTTTTTTTTTATTGTTACTATATATATTTTAAATTTTTAATCTATATATGGATATAGATAGATATGAAAGATAAAAGATTAACTTCCTTTAAAAGAAGGTATTTTTGAGATAAAAAAAAAATGGACTTAAGTCATAACATATAATTTTAAACATAGACTTATAAGTTTCCTTACAGGACTTATCTCCAAACAAGTACGTCTAAGAAAACTCACTTTTAATTTTCACATTATTTTAAGTGAATAATTTGGTAATTTTTGTTTCTAATTTCAAATATTTAAATTTATATCTTTTTGCATGGTATATTTATAGGCCCTCTTCCAATTCGAGCTTGTATCGAGATGTAACACAGGGCTTGGTCTGGACCCTATGCTCACCAGACTCGCCTCTACTAGCCCACTTATCATATCAGGCCCACATGCCATTACCCATGAAAATCAACAGGCAAGCAGTTATCCATACTGAGATGTTGGGTTTAGCCCAAGATAATTTTTTCATCCGGCAACCCAATAAGAATTCTAGTGCTGTCCTGGTTTTCCAAACGTGGTACAAACCGAACAATGTTACGGTTGTCGATGACTAATACTGTTTGGCTTCTCGATCGTGTCTGATCTTTGTGAGTTTGTATAAAAAAAATATTTTAATTATACTCTATTAATTTATTAGTTTATGTCTAACGAATTATATCATATCAAATTTCTATCGTGTATGAATTATATATAATCGATATATAAACAAGTCGAGTCGTATATTTATTTTAATTGAGTTCACTCATACCTTGATTTATTTATTAATCGTATTATGTCGAGTCCACTCATTTAAGAAATTAGTGATTTAATAAAGACGCAGACCCTCTAATTTCATGTTTTGTTCACGAGTCATGTCATATTTTAACACTCCATATTACCGTGTCATGTCTTTTTTCGTAACTCATATATAATCCGTTTATAATAGTTTGTAATTTATTAAACCATCGTCTACTATAAAAAGTTTAAACTGTTAAAAATGAATGTAACTGAAGTATTTATATTTTAAAATGCCCTTCACTTGTAAAGCATAGAACGTGAACATTTTTAATTATTAGAGTAAAGGTGAAATTCGAATACATTACATCTTGTCTAATATTATGTTAAATCATCATCTATCCTAAAAACTTGAGTTTTTAATGTACGAGTTTGATATGTATGTACAAATTCTTTTTGTGTCAAGGACATATTGTATAGAATTCGTGTTATGTATGAATTATTTCATATTTAAGTTTGTATCAATTTATTTATTTAATAAATTAATAAGTTTATTTATTTATCACCTGAATTTATTAAAATTATTTTTTTTTATTTTGTATCAAATATAAAAAACAAAAAAACAAAAAATTTAATGAATGTACACATCTAGAAGCCCCACTAGATCGCACCTTGCAGGTGAGGAACTGCTTGTCCATATCTCTTACCGGCATTTGCTTGTCCCTATCTCCTCTAAAGTGGATCATATATTTCATACAGAGACAGACAAGACTTTCTTCATAGCTTTCAATTGAGCGGAATGCTCGACGCGCTATTAATAGATAAGTTTTAATTTTATGATAAAAAAAGTTTTATTTTTAAACAAATTTGTCCATAGTAATAGGGATTACATTGATAGTAATATAAGTCAATATGTCTTTAACTTGTGTCACCCATAAATATATGTCATTCAGGCATATATATATATGTGTGTGCGCGCGCGCGCGGGAGTGCTGACATATAAACATAATAATAATAAATTTTTTATTGATTTAAACTCTTTTTTTTATGTATAAATAAAAAAAATTCATCCTAACTAACTACATGAGAATCCCCCCAATGTTATAATCGTAAATGTAATTTTGTTGATTTTTTTTTGTACTATGTCAAAAATATCTCTCTTAGAACCTGTTTGGTATATGGATTTGGAGAGTTTTGAAACATGAGTTGGAGAATAAAACTCAACAACCAATTGTTTGATAAATATATAGTTAGTTTTGGGTTTGAAATCCAACCCGCGTTAGACCTGATAATTAAACCCAAGTTCATGGGTTTCATATGTGAGTTCATTGGTTTAAGTTAATAAATGACATTTATACTCTTATATATCTCATATACGTAAACAAAAATGAGTTTGAATTAAATTGGTTAATAGGTACAATAGTCATTTATATACAAATATATTATCATAATAGTCATATATCCGTGCCTATACCAAATATGGGTATGGACGATAATGAATGTTGAATCTCATCTTTGAGTTTAGACAAGTTAATTCAAACATCTTCAAAAAAATCAACCAAACAGTCCCTTAAAGTTGAAATCGTCCCCTCTCTCTCTCTCAATCGTCCATAAATTTCAAATTTTTAGTGTATATTTAATTTATCTAATATAGACACGTTGAACCATTTATTTTTACTTTCTAACTGTTTAGTGTGTTGCATTAATGTTGGATGAATAGTAAAAACAAAGTTATTTGTTTTTACCCTTTTTTTTTTTCTAATTTCTCAATTTTCTCCAGTTTTGGATTAAAATTAAATGAAATCATTGATTACAATATTTTTAAGAATTTTCTAAAATTGTATTATTAGAGAGTTTTATTTCACTCCCACTTAGCCCAAAATGCATGTATAATTAGCAAAACCCTCATTGGACTGACCATATGTACATCCATGGCCCATGGGCTTGTGTTATCAGTATCTGTATATACCGAATACCCCTCTGTCTCTCTCTCCCTCTCTCCCTCACACACACACATACACACTCACACACATACTCTCTCTCTCTCTCTCTCTCTCTCTCTCCCTCCCTCTCTCTCTCAGAGTAATTTGTACATATAAAAAGGTAGTATGTGTATATGCTTGATGTGAAAGAATAGAGAAACAAAAGGGTAAAGAAATAAAAAAAAAATAAATGCGACCATTTCAAAGCGAGCTTCTCGCAATATCAACGGGGTCTGAATTGTCTCTCTCTCTCCTCACAATCACACGGACCACCGATGGCGAAAGCGATGGTACGGAGCATTGTCTCAGTGGGTGGTGTTGGTGTTTTCCTCCTCCTCCTCCTTGTTATGCTTCTTCTGATCCTCCTCATCGTTTTCATAGCCTTCAAGTGCAAACCATGGCGTTTCGTCTTTGGTACCTCTCGCACTGGCACGATCAAGGTCTAGCATCCCCCCCTCTCTCTCTCTCTACATATATATATGTATATATTCATCTAAACCCATGAAACTGTCCTTGTTATTGAATTCTTTTCAATTTTGAGGTTTTGATTTTATGATAGTTTTCGACAAAGTACGAAATGTATTCATGTGTTTGATAAAATTTGGAATGACGAGTACGGGATGGGACTGAACCATTGGGTTTTTATTTTTGTAATTTCCCCAAACTGTTAGGGTTTATGTATTCGTGAATGGGTATGTTAGAGCTGAATAATTGGAGTCACCTCGATGAAAATTTATGTCTGATTGATGCATAAAAAATTAGTTTTTGATCTAATTACTGTTTTTTTTAGTTTAGGGTATACTGAAATTAGGGTTTGGTTGATATTTCAAGGACCCATTGTTTGTTGATTGTTCAAGGTGTTAGAATCACTTGATTTCATTAGGAAATGGAAACTGGTTATTGTTGGTATTGATGAGGGTTTACCGCTGCTTCAATTGTGACTAGTATACCTGGTTTGGTGTTGCTAAGAAGTTTTGAAGCAGGAATTGATACTTACAAATGATATCTAAGTCATTTTTAATTCTATTAATAAAGTTTATATAGTATATATTTATGGTTTCAATGTCTGAGCATTTTTACTTTTTCTTTTTACTACATGTAAGAAAATTTGAATGCTTCATCTTACTCAATGTAGAGCTAGCCTGCACTCCAGTTGAAACACCAAAACTTGAAGTGATAACCTAGCACTTTAAGGTTATGAAACACTTGCTTGTAGTGAGGCAAGCACTTGGTGCGAACTTGTAGATACATAGGTCTCAATGTCTAGCAATTTAGGGCTGTTTGGAGAAGACTGAAGGTGTAAACCCACTTGAGTTTTGGGATTTGGGAAAGCTGAAATCTCCTAGCTTATTCATTAAAGCAAGCTTGTGAGGTTTTGCCTACTTCCTATTCCCTGTTTATATATGCTGGATAATTAGTGGGCACTTGAATTTGAATTCTGTGGTTAAAGTTAGCTATTCTAGCATGTTGCCATTGACTGCATGTAATGATGTACCCATATTTATTGTGAAGATCAGAATGACCTTATCATCCTACTTAGATGCTTTTGTGGTAATAATAATTTTCGAGGCTTGCCTTTTAAGCAAGAAATTAAATTGGGACATTTTGGTATTTAAACCATGCTCTTTCTTTTGGTGATTTTTTCAATCATGTCGAAATATTTTCATTCTAACTCCTGTGTTAATTACTATTCTCACCTTGTGATAACTTTTTTTGTAGGTTGATGACATAGAGCGGCGTCTTGTTTCAGAAGATTTGAATCTGGTCCAAAACCAGAGCAATGAGTTTGCGAGAAATTATGCTCTAGAGGGGGCATATCAACTAAAGCAAGCAGGTTTCAATTCATCCCGGAAGCAAGGACTTGCTTATAAACAAAGGCCTCCATCTACAACTCCACAATTGACCCATAGTATATAGCGTGGCCTATTGTTTTTCCCTTCCTGAATATAACTTCTTAATATAGATGCATTTTGTATTTCTTTGGTGTTGATAGCAAGTATGCTTTGTTTTTCCAGGTGATAGCTTTGTTCTAGACATTTCTGACCCTTCAGAGGATATTTTGGTTGGTCAGACGCTTAAGCTTCCATTGTTGACAAACCAGGCTGATCAGCATAAACATGAGAGAAAGGAAGATTTGAAATATAGTTCGAAATCTGGTGTAGATAACTACTGCAGACCAAAGTAATTTTCTTTCACTTATACAGAGATTAATGTTTTTCGAATATCTTTAATTGGCTAAATATGTAAAACATGTCATCATATCTCTCTGATTAGAAGTGCAGGAAGTGCAGGAAGCATTCTCACGCTGGAGGTTATCTCTGGTCCTTCTTGTGGGCTTCGTTGTTCGATACAGTCTTCAAATATATCTAGGCTTCCACTAACTCTTGGAAGAGTTTCACCAAGTGATGTGTTAGTGAATGATTCAGAGGTTTCAGGGAAGCATGCACTGATAAACTGGAATTTGAATGTATGATTCTTAAGATCGATACCACTTTGATATGCATTCCGGTAAACTATGCTCTTGTGGTTCAGTAAATTTATTCACTTTATTATGTCAGAAATTGAAATGGGAGCTGGTCGACATGGGTAGTTTAAATGGAACACTCTTGAATTCTCAGTCAGTACACCATTCTCATTCTGGACACAGACAATGGGGTGATCCGATTGAGCTCACAAATGGGGACATAATAACTCTTGGCACAACTTCAAAAATATGTGTAAGTTGATATCTTCTCAGTGTCAAGTAATAATTATTGCTTTTATGATGTTACTGTTACGTGATACTTATCTGCAATAGTTAAAGCAAAATAATATAAGATACTACTTTGTTGTGTCACATACTTGTCCTGGAACATGGAGTTATTGCGGATTGGAACCAATATGTGCTAAGCTTTCTTCAATTTCTGATATGGGAGGAAAATAATCATTGGACAACCTAGGTCTGGCAATCACATGTGCAGTTTCATAAGGACTTCAGGATATCCATATCTTCTCGATTCAAATGATGTAATACGATAAGAAAAACATTAGTAGGCTAATTCCGAGATGAGTTAGGCGTTGAAAATTTGTCTAGCATTAGAAAAGTTGATAATAGCCTTATTGGGAGTCTTAATTTCCCAATTGGCCCATTCTTTTTCTTTGTATTGAATCTAATTATAATTTATAGTTTTCATGTTTATTTCGCTGCTTGAAAGAGGTGAAATAGAAAACTAGTAAAATACCACGTACTTCAATTCTGTGAATGGAAAAATAAACAGGGTTCTTTGCCTTGTAAAGTAATGAAGACTTACCTATCTGGAAAAAAGAGAGGATTAACGCTGTTGCTCTTAAATAGCCTCGTCTCTCGGTTTCATTCACTTATATTAGGTAACCTTTGGATGGTCAACTTTTGTTTTATATAAGTAATCTTCATTATGCCCTCACACTTAAACAATCCTTGGTTAAATTCATTGTGTCACGCTGGTACAAGATGTGTTCGCATGCATTAAAAGGAACAGGCGGGGTTTCAATCTTTTTGTTGGGCCCTCGACCTACCCCAATATCCCCTCAATCCGTATCCCCTAAGCCAAAAATGAAAATATGAAAAGGAGAAAAATATCAGCATATCTATTGTTGCTTATTGTGGCAACTATAATTTATGCTGCTGCTCCTAGTTTTCGTTGGTTGATCCTAGTTTTCCCAGTGTTCCCCTGTTGTTGCAGGTTCAGATTACTTCTCAAAAAGAGTATCAGATCCCCTTTGGAGTTTGTGTGACATCGGATCCCATGGCTCTGCGTCGAGGAGGAAAGAAGCTACCCATGGAAGATGTCTGCTATTACAAGTGGCCTCTTCCTGGGGCCGATCAGGTTTTGGGAATTATCTGAATCTTAATTCTTTGCTCTTATACATTTTTTGAAAGGGTTAATCTCGTACAGTTGCTGATCTTGCAGTTTGGAGTGTTTGGTATATGTGACGGACATGGAGGAGCAGGTGCTGCCACATCTGTTGGCAAGTTAGTATTTTCCTTGCCTGCTTTAAGTCAAATCCTTCTTGTATTTCACAATATTTCGATATCTATCTCATACTATCAGTGGGAACATGACATGTTTTGATATTCTCCCATAAGTCGGGTCGACTCCTAATCAAGGAGCAGGGACACATGTTATGGCTGTGATACCGGCTGAAAGATTTACTGTGTTTTCCTGTTTTTTTATTCATGAGGATACAATATTTAGTATCAATTCGTCCAAATGCTTTTGGTCTGGATTGTTTATGTGGAAAATAGAATATCTGATAGCAATCTAGAATCTGCTTCCATTACTCATTTATGCTTTTTCTTTGAAATCCTCGTGTTTTTACGTGTCTTCTTATGAATGCCAGTACTATTTGTGCTGCTTATAAGTTGAAACCTAGTTGTTCACTGTCAAAATTGTAGTTTTTGTCTCCTGAACGATCTTTTGACCTTTGGTTTATGCCATCTGAGATGTTCACGTTTCTTTCTTATGCTTTCTAACTAAGTTTGTGAAGGTGTTGAGCTCATATTCACCCTTAGTGTTATCTCATATTTAATTATTTTTTAGCACATGAACTAGCATAGCAGTTTCTGGTTGCTAGTGGAAGCTATATTAGTAACTCTCCAATAATTTCTCTCTAGAATAATGCCTGAGATGGTTGCTAGTATTTTGGCGGATTCGTTCAGAAGAGAGGGGATCTTGTCGCAATGTGATGCTTCAGATGTCCTTAGAGAAGTATTTTCTCAAACAGAAGCATCCTTGAATCACTACTATGAGGTTGTTACCCAACTTGGCTTTACTAGCACTGTATGTCTTCATCTTTTGCACTTGTCTGCTTGTTTTGTAATTGAATAATGCTCCTTGCTGTATGTTTTTTCAAGATTTGTTTGATAATGTTTGACTAGTCGGTTGCTTTCTGCATTCTACTTCCTTCTATCGTCGGCATTAACTTCTTGTATCCTTGATTATATATGTACGCGACAGAATTGTGGGCCCTCCAAATCGTTTAATTTCTTTCTTGTTTTTAGTTTTTATGTTGCACCTGCATGATTGGATGGTATATTTTTGGTCATTCATTCACTTCATTCTTGTGTTCAAAATTTATGGTTCCAACACATGTTATTGGGAAAGGAATGATTGAATTCATTAATCATTCAATCATCTACCGTGTATACACTAAAATAAATGTGAGTTGTGTCAAGGCAGACTCTAACTGATAAATGTGAGATACTTTGCAGTATATAGGTTGACATACGTGAATTAATTTGAAAAGAATGTTCTCAAAGAAATACTGGGTTGTGAAATGGTGAGGTTATAGCCTCTCCACTGTCTGGTCTCCTCTGTAATTGGTGTGATTCAACGTTTAAAGCATCAGAACAACTTATATTAGCATTGACCCTGAATGTAATTATTTATCTGCATGGTTAACTTTGACAATTTTTACTTTTAGAGTCATACTCCAATTTAGCGGGAGTAGTGAGCTGTTTATTTTACAATAATGAAAAAAGTGTATTTAGTTTTGTTTTCAATTATCTTTGTCTTATTAGATGTTTAGGGTTGGAGTATGTGCAAGTGATAACCAAAATCTTTCAGGGGTGTACTGCAACAATGCTACTGGTTTGGGCTGATGGTCATGAAAATTTCTTTGCGCAATGTGCAAATGTTGGAGACTCAGCTTGTATTGTAAAGTATGTGCTCGTGTTGTCACTCTTACATTTATTGGCTAATCAATGCAAGTTATCATCCGTATTTGGACATTATTAGCATAATTTTACATGCATTGTTTTTCTGGGGTTATGTTAAAGATCTATGCAGAACTCCAGCAACTTGAAATGTGGGATATCCTCTCATGTGATGATACAGATCATTAAACGAAGGCTGCTGTATCGATTTCAAAATTTACAAGTTCTTTTGACTCTTCCCAGTATACATTTGTGGAATGTGTGGAAAGTGTGTGCGTGTGTGTGCGCGCGCGCGTGAGCACTTGTGCGTTGGTGTATGTGGGCATGTACGTTTGGACAATTGGGATTGGGGTTATAGAATATGTTCTTTTCTTTTCTATTTCTGTGGTGAGCTTTTTTTTATTATATGCTCGTCAGTTATGGTCTATTATTGTTTGAAATATCATGTGTTTGCATCCCAACCTCAGCTTGGGATCAAAGACATTTGGTATTGATTCTACCGTCCATCTTTTTACTATCTTAGAGTCCTATGTGTTTGCTTTAGTTGTAACCTACTGGTTGTGGTGAACTTGAGTAGAAGAGAGCAGTTGTACCCAACAGTCTACTTGCCTTTTTTCCTTTTTGGCTTACTGAAAAATAATATAATATTAATATAATAAAACGAAATACGAAGGGGTAAAAATATAAGTGCAGCATGGTTGGACATCCTTATTTTTGGGACAGTTGTTGATTATTGGTCATGATTAAATCATCTTAGATGGCTTCCTCCCATCCTGTGTTCCATTGATGCTACTACCATACTCTTGTCAACTTATTCAATTCTTGTCATAGGTAGTGCTTGTGTTTGTATCCGGGTGTGTGTTTCATTCTTATTGAAGCCATATTGTTTTCAGGGTGTGCTGCACTTTTTTTTTTTGGGTTTCTGGACTGCCCATAACTGAGTTTAATGCCTCTGTATTGATGCAAATGCAACAACTATTTCATGCTCTACTGCTGGTGGTTTTTTTTTTTGGTCAAAAAAATGAAAAACTTAGTAAATATATCCTTGGATATGAGGGATGGTAGTTTTGGTTTATTCTGGATCAAATAGTCCTATTTTAACTTTGCACTAATTTTATATAAGGGTATGTGATCTTTATCTGTGGCAGTATTAATGGGAAGCAGATTAAGATGACGGAAGACCATAGAATAACCAGTTATTCTGAAAGGCTCCGTATCCAAGCGACTGGAGAACCTTTGAAAGAAGGGGAAACGAGATTATGTGGTGATTAAACAATTATTCATCTATTGTACATATCCTTTTGTTAAATGTCAATGATCAACCGAATCTCTTTTCCTTCATCCAGGTTTAAATCTTGCTCGGATGCTCGGGGACAAGTTTCTTAAACAGCAGGATGCTCGCTTCAGTTCAGAACCTTATATAAGTGAAGTTGTGCATATACCTCAAGCCAGCCGGAGTTTTGCCCTATTGGCCAGGTGATTTTTTTCTAATCAAGTCTGTTTTGTGCTTTCAGCTGTATATATATTCATAGCTCATATTTTTTATAGATATTTCTTTGTCGGCTCATGCTAGCTGATCTTCCAGTTGATGGCCGTGGTTGGAGTGAAAATTTTAATATTTGGATATGCCCATCAGATAATTGTGGGCCGCGTCACCCTTCTCTTAACAAGTGCCTGTTGAACTCAAAGATTTGTTAAGTAATCTATGTGTAAGGGTAGCTTTTTTGTCACACAAAGGAATTTCTCCACTTCTTTTACTTTGAAATAAATGACAAAATTACCTTTCTCAATGAGAGCCTCTGTATTTCTTCAATCAGAAGATTGCTGTGTTACTTTTCCAGCATCAGTTCTCTGCATCAGCAGTAAATATGCTACAAATTGAAACCCAATATCTTTAAATAAAGAATATGTGTGGATTTATCACCTCATTAAAGGTAAAAAAACCAGCAACAAGTGTATTGTGGAAATTAAGATTTTAAGCTTGAAATAGTTTCATCTTCGATCATATGTGAACTTTTCATTAGAAATCATTCTGCTTTTCAGTAGAGAGAGACAAGAGAGTGGAGGAGTATATGTCCAACTTTTTAGGAAATATATGTGGGTTTTGACAATGGCAAAGCGAAAAGAGTAAAACTGAATAGAAACTGTTGGGGGTTTGCCGAGAGAGAGTACCATGATTGTGTGGTTGATGGTAGAGCTAGAGTAGAGACAAGGATGACAGCTAAGTCGGTGTGGAGGCATTTGGAGAATTTTGGTGAGTTTTTGAGATGGGGATGGTTGGGAAAGGTAGTGACAGCAATCATGGCACATTTATCTTTTTGGTTGGGTTACATTGATCTGGCTTTTAGATAGGTAGGGAGCAAGACCTTAGAAGTTTCATTGCAATTAGAGTGACATGGACAAAGGGGATGATAGAAATGGAGGATTAATATAGGCATCTAGTTGGGAAGGTAACAGGAGGGTTTCTTTTTTAATTCTCTATACAGATTTAATTTACCAGTTGGAGAGAGATTCTTTTTGGTCGTTCTTGTGTGTTTTAATGGCGCCACTTTGTATTGGTAGATTTGTATGTGTGTGTGTTTCACATTATTCATATGAACATAATTATTTGTGGATTTTGGATGCAGTGATGGCTTTTGGGATGTCATTAACTATAAGAAAGCAGTTCAGCTTGTACATCAGGTACACTCACTTCACTTGATCAATGATTTTCTCTGGTCTGGAAATTCCTTGTTTAAGTCAATTAATCCAAAATTTTAACACTCCTGAACTGCACAGACAAGGGAGAGAAACACTACGGCTGAGAATTCTGCAGAAATAATTGCAAATTTTCTGTTGAGTGAGGCAAGAACGCAGCGGACAAAGGATAACACCTCTATAATTTTTTTAGATTTTGACACCAACAATAGAATCTATTCTTGTAAACATGATCCTTAGGCCGACGCAATGTTCCACATTTTATAATTTTTATCATTGTAATTTTTGTTTAAAATGTCTCTCCCTGTACTTCCAGACTGTCCTGTCTGTCTCTCGCACGCACTCACACATACATCTCGATATATAAATTTATAACCCTGATGGGTTTCCCAATCGACTAGTGATACCTCTCCGAATTTCCCTTTAGAAAGGAGACAATAAGTCCGTCAACATTGAAGTTTGGTTTTGATTTTGATGTGTGCGAGCAATCAGTGGATGATGATGCACACACACCGAAACAAATATGGGTTATGTTAACTACCTGGCTATAAGGATAATTTTTGTTATTTTAGGTATTAATATAGATCATGTATTATTTAATAGTACGTATTTTATGGTATTATTTGTACCAAATATAGGATATTACTTGAAACGCTATCATAGAGCCGGTACTAAAATGACTTTTAGGACTTTGATTTGTGTCATGTTCTAAACTTGGTATTAAATGATGATTAATTTAGTCCATTTCTACCCTATGATACTCCAAATATACATTTTGTAAAGGTGTGATCAAAGTATTAGCATGTAACTCAAAGAGAAAGGTAGTTCAAGTGGTAATAAATAGTGAGTTGTTAATTCAGACGTTTTAAGTTTGAATATTGGCAACTCGTTGAGATTAAGATGAGATATTTATTTTTTATGAATTTTTTAGTTCTAATGTGGATGGTTTGTCTTTGATCGGATTGGAGAGAGAATTAGTCGAAGTGCGCATAAAGTGGTTGGATATCTTAACCATTAAACAAAAAAAAATACTAGCACGCCAATGTCATACTGTTTGATTTTTATTTACTTTTTTGTTAATTTCATTCTTTACTTAGTCTAACACTATGAATATGTATCGATTGAGTTGTGGCTCTAAGAAAGAAATACATCAGAGTTCCTAAAGTATTCACTCATTTTTAATTTTATACCTTAACTTTCAAAATATGGCATATGGACCCCTGAAGGTTCTAATAGATTAACCAATTGTGCTAATGCTCATCTAATAGATTAACCAATTATGCTAAATCTCATCTGTATCAAGGATAAACTATGATGTCTCAGTCCTTTCCAGGTTTGACTCGAGCAAAAAGTCGGCAAATGATCCATAAAAGTCAAAACCCCTTTCATCTTCCCAGCTGGTGCATTGTCTTTTTTTTTTTTTTTTTGGCGTGTTTTAACAGTCGAGAATGTTCGAATCAGTTTATGCATACCTCAAAAATCTCTTATAATATAACCTCAAAAATTATTAAGATTCGAATCTCATAAGTTAAATTTTTTAATATATTGGAATTTATATCCACCTAAAACGTTAAGTCTACGTGTGATGAATTCATGAACAATATATTAAAAAAATTTAAACTTATTCTTCACAACTCTCCACCACCCACCAACTCTACCCCACTATCACCACCATATCTGGCCCTATTCTCAACCCAAAGTATCCACCACCACTTTGCGCCATCAGATCTGCGGATCATTTCAATCCCATCCAAACACTACCACTCCATCCCTATTCTCAAACCCTCAAAACCCAACAACACATCCCTAACCCCATCTTTCCTCCCAGCATCCCCTCACATCAAACTTTTCGGTGGGTATTAATCCAATAAATGACTTTTTCATCATTTTCTTCAAATTTTTTTTAGTCAGAGTCGTGACTAAAGAGGTGCGCTAAATCTTTCTAAGAAATAAGGAGGAAGCTAAAAGTCTTCAATTAGTCTGATTTTTCTCGACCAAAGCCTTTTTCAAAAAAAATGAATTGAAATTGAAAGTGCGTAAATAACATAATATCAATCTAATTTAAAAGTGACACAATTAAACTAGGATTCCGTTCTTTGTTAATTCAACTTTAGCTGCATCAATTTATAAACAGTAATTCCCTTTCATTATATTGAAAAACATAAAAAATTCAAAGAAAAAGGATGAATGAGTTATGAGTATTAGATACCATGCTCATAAATACTCCTACCATTCTATGAAGCAAGATTGTCCTATCCGAAACAAAGTGAGTTGGCGAAAAGCCATTTGATAGTTGAGATTAGAAGGAGGTGAAAAACCCATCAATGGTATTAGATTGCTAAATTACTACATTACCCCTTCATTAATGCCTAATATTCCACACCATAGTAAAGGCACTCAAGTCAATTGACACCAAATAAATTTTTTATTTTTGTTCTGGCCCCACGTGAAAAATTAATCCTGGCTTGCCTAAAAGAAAATGCAACACAATCCACAAGAAATGAAAATCAACGTGTAATTAAAGAGTAAAGAGCCGTGACGCTCAGAAGCAGAGCCACATTAGGACTAAACAATTTTGGATTTCTTCGTTTATGCCACATTTTTCAGCATTATTTTATTCATTTTATTTCATTATTCACCATAATTTTATATATTAATTTAGACTTGAATTTTAATAGATTTTTTCGTATTTGAACTTTTTTTTTTGTATCAGCTTGTGACTCTTTTTAGTTGGATTTTGCCCCAATCTTAGGCAAATTCCTTGCTCCATCCCTAGTGAGGTTTGGGTCATTACTTAGCACCTTGACTTCAAAAATATTTAACATATTAGGGATAACTCGTATCTGAAAGAACAGTGCAACATAAATAAATGTTAATGGTTTTGAGAAGGATGTTAGTGACCGTTGGATGAATCTATTTTAGACTGTCGGATGAGTTTATTAAAATATACACTGTTTTATATTATAGATTTATCTTAAGGTCAATGAACAATCAAATTTAAATTTAACATATGCCAGTTATGTGATGTTGTTGGAAAAGATAAGGTACAAATGGTTACTTACATTAAAAAAAAAAAATTAACAAATAATATATGTAAGGACTAATCGGAAAAGCAAGGTATCTATTTCCACAAATCAGCTATCTATTGATTACTATACATTGTCGGGAAGTGTACATGTCGTAATGAACACGTATGATATGTCAAGTATATAAATCATAGATACATTTAATAGCAAAAATAAAAAATACAACACGAAAAAAAAATGGTGGTATATGGACAATCAATGACAAACAATTTGATAACACACTTCAATTTGGCATAGGAAAGGAAATGGCAACTATTTCTAGTATACAACACACTTCAATTTGGCAGAGGAAAGGAAATGACAACTATTTCTAGTATACAATTCGGGGTAACGCATGAAGAATGGCATAACAAGTATGTCGTGAAGAGAGTTGAGCTTGAAGAAACTCGAAATTCCAACACTAATAAGAGAACTCCACGAATAATGCTTAACAGAAACTCTTGTATGGTTGTTCGTGGACTTGTGATTGCTCATGAACGCGGTGGCGTCAAAAATGGATTACCGGGAGATATCCTAAGACGTGAGATAAACAAATAAATCACCAAAAAACAAGCAACAAAATGGAATATGAACAATATGAGTGTACAATTACCTAAGGTTCAGTCCAGGTTTGCTTGTAAGGCCATTTGGAACTTGACCAGTGAAATTATTGCCTTGCAAGAAGCTGAGAAGGCACAAGATAGAGTCAGATATGCTACGAATCATATTAACATAATGCAAAAAAGAAAATAAATCAACGTAATGCTTAAAAAAAAATTGAAATTGTTAACTTATTGTTAACGTGACAGTGAATGAGAAGATTTCCATTTCTTTAGAAAAAAAGAAGCATCAGTCAGAATATCTCATTAAGTTGGTGTAAGCATCAACTTATCAAGCTAACAATCTAAGTTTTCATTTGAAAACCCACATGTCAACTTTAATTGTAAATATACTAGTGAGGAATACCAGTTTTCACTGCTAGATGTAGTACATGATCCAAATATATCAAATACATTATGAAGTTCAAGTTAAGGAAGTGATGGGAACTAATAAACAAAGGAAAGAATTCTGCAAGCAAAACTTTCATATTGGTGATTGCAACTGCCCTTCCCCCTCTGCCATGGAAAGAAGGGTAATTCATCAACCAATTAGGTTATTTTTATTTTATCGCATAATTTTTGAGTCCACAAAATTTCATTCAATCTCATGACATCATAAATAATTGTAACACCAATTCACCAAGTAATTCAACAATTGTAGTGCAATCTAAGCCTAATTTCGTCAAATAACTCAACTATTTTTACTCAATTTTGAAATATACGATGACGATAAGAAAGTGAAGATATATGTATTTACCTTAGTAGTCCCATGTGTATTACACTTTCGATAACTATTAAGGCTTAAACTCATGACTATCTGATCTTCTTGAGACTTTTAGCCACTACACCTTTACTATTAGAACACAATTTTTGTAATACTCTTGGGGATCAACTTGAAATAGCTTATATATGTTGGGTGCTTTTGAAAACTTGAGGGGTTCATGGCCCCCCTAGGCCCTAGGGTAGTTCCGGCCATGCCAGTAATCATAAATAGTTAAGAAGACAGTATAAGTGATGTACAGAGACAAAATAATATTATCGAAATATAACATAGGAAAGATTACATAATGATGCATCCCTAGTAGTAAGATCATGTATAACTGGATATATACGGAAAAAGGTTTAGGTCCACAAAGTCAGCTTGTTCTCTTACAAGAGTAGAACTTACAGTTCGCGCAAGCTGTCAATGTTTCCAAGTGATTGAGGAATCTCCCCACTGAGTTGATTGTCTTCCAAATGTCTGTAATGAAAGGCAGTTAATAAAAAATCAAAAACTGCATTCTGTCTCAAAATGGCTGAATTGAAGTCCCACAAAACCGAATAGTTATAAACAGAATCCACACAACAAAGGAGTTGTATGTAAGCAACCTCCTGAAAGCAAATGAGCTGCAATCATTTTATTTGTTGCATGCTTAAAAGGAACAGATAACTTACAATATCCCCAATTGCATTTAAACTGCAACTATTTGTTGGATGGTATGATGAAAAATAACAGGAATACAGAAGAGATGCTCACAACTTACAATATTGCCAATTGCTTCAATGGACTGAGATCAGGAATGGATCCAGACAAACTGTTGTTCCCAAACCACCTGAAAATAGAAAGAGATTGTCAATTAACTGATTCTTATCCCTGAGTTGTATAAGTGGACCAAGAAGCAAATCTTCTTACATGCCCGTCAATGCAGTTATGTTGGCAATACTTGGTGAGAGTGATCCAGAAAGACCCATACCAGTAAGGTTCCTGTGGATAATGAAAGTGGGTACTATACTTTATTCCAGAAACAATTATTTTGGTGGTAGTGATTAGAGGTGGATTGTTTTGGGCTGAAAAAAGAAGAGGAGAGAGGGAAAAGGGGGGGGGGATACAGTGACGCATAGACAACAGTGTTTTCAAATCACAAGTCCAACTTACAAAGCAGTTACTCGAATCCGAGGTCCTTCGGAGCATGTAACTCCAGTCCATGAGTACTGTCGTGGTAAACAAGGATCACCAGTCCAATCAAGTGGAGGGTTCTGGAAACTATTCTTCATTTTTTCCAAAGCAATCACTGCAAGTTGAAGGTGGAAATGTGAAGAAAGTGATCGGTTCATAAGGAAAAAAAAAACTTGAGAAAGACAGAATGGCAGGAAATCAATCGACCTGGCACCTTTTCCTGGATTAAACACAAGTTCACCTGTTTAGGAGAAGATTGTTGATTGATCTACAGAATTGTGCTGATTACTCAACTGCTAGACAGGCCACTATTTGGATGAGCCATAACCCAAATCATTGGTCATAACCAACGAAAAAATTTCACAAGTACGATCCCATTCGACTTGATGCAGAAAAGAATATCAAACTACCTTAGTATAATGTCATATTTTCCACGTCAATTTCATAATCCATAATTTAAACAACCAGATCAGAGTGGCTCATCCAAAATGTGACCCAATTAGCAGCTAAAGGATTCTAGGAGAGGATGACCGATATCCAGGAAATGGTACCAGATACGAGTCTGCATAAGAAATGAAGGTTGTTAGTAACCAAACCATCTCGTGTAAGAGTTCTTCCTCCAAGAAGCAGCACCTCAAAAACCTCTCCGGCGTTTATAAGAGGACCTATATTTGATCCGGCAGCAGGAGTCAAAGTTATCTTTGTAAGGCCAGCAAGAACCCACTGGTTTGCAAATACAACAGCACCAGCTGGAGTTACATTCATATCAGGGTAATAAGTTACACCATTTATGGTTATGTTAAAAACCCTTGAGTTCCCTGACGATGAATCACGGTCATCCGCAAAGTAAAGAGCAATGTAATATGTCGAATTTGAGATAGAGTTCGGTGGCCACTGCAACTCCATAGGTTCTGCTTGGCCGACTGTCAACTCCGTCTGAAATACCTTCAAAGGGGGGAGGTTCCAGAAACCAGAAACAGATACATTTCGCACTCTCATTATGGTGGGATTATTTTCTCCAAATGGCTCCCAATAACGATCGAATTGATCATCAGGATATCTGATGTTTCACATACTCATAGTTAGGCAACAAACAAAGGTATGCAAAGCATTTTCAGCAGAAAGACGGTTAACCTAAGGAAACCCACTGCACTTAACAACTTCTAACAGCAAATAATTTGGCATTTTCACGCAAAAAAATTTCTTTCTTTTGAGACCCAAAAGACATGTGTAGCTACTGGCAGAAAAATATTGCTTGGAGAGTATGAAGTAAATGACCACAATTTTCTACTCAGAAACTAACAAAAAAGGGCACATGAAAAAAAACAAAAACAAAAAATGACTTCTTGAGTTACTACTTCTCAATTGTCTATTTAGGGAATCTTACTCAAATTTTATGAGTCAGCATACAAGAAATCAAGCAATATCCTCCTATCATCCCCTCAATATCTTGAATTTTACCACGCTCCCATCAAGTAATGTCACAGAAAAATAACACAAAACCCCATCAATATAAATGAAGAAGAAAGCATGAACCCATAGATCAAGGGGGTACAACCACAAGCAAATTTACTCACAATCTATCACTTTAATAGCCTATTCATCCACTTAATCCCCTCAAATTTAAGACAATTGTCTAATAAGCATCAAGAGCACCAACTTATAGTACAAAAATCAATAATGATAATTGTGCTGTGACTTACCTAATGATCGGTCCACTGTATCCAAAACCATGCCTTGCAATCAAATGTAGCCCATATTTCCCAAAATCCGTTGAATTGTACAAAGAATTCTCCAAAAGCACAAACTCTAAAGCCGATATAAACGGGTCTGAATCAGTATAAGTATTTGCAGCCAAACACAAGCTCATTGTCTTCCCTGCTGCAACAAAGACCCCCTCATAGTACGAAGACATACCCTTCACAAAATCTTCGGTCGTATTCACCACGCTCCAGAAAGTTCCATCTATCATTTGATCAAACACTGGGGGCGCAGGATTGCCATTGACTCCACCGTAGAAGTACATGGTTCGAACCAAGTACTTCCCGGTGCGATACACCGGGATTACATAGCAGAATTTCTTGAAAACATTGCCTTGAATTGGGAACGTTCGAACCGTAGATAGAATTGGAACCAAATCGGGTGTTGTTAGGTTTCTGGGGGTTCCGGTGGAGATATATCCGGTGTCGGGAGCCCATTCTCGGCCGTCGATCACGGACCTGACCGTGGTACCGCAGTCAATGAACACCCCTGAAAAAAAACGCAAAAAATTAGGGGTCCGAAAAGGTCTAATGCTGAGTCTTACACAGATATAGATGCCCAGATACATGTAATAAACACACACACATATATTGAGAGAGAGAGAGAGAGAGAGAGAGAGTTACCTCTGGGGGATTGGGAGAGGGAGAAGGGGAGGAGAGAGAGGAGGAAGAGGAGAGACAGAAAGGGGAGCATGGTTGATGTGGGAGATGAAGAACAGACATATGAAAATTCAGAAGAGGGGTGGGGGGTTGATTGGGTTTGCTGTATAGTGGAGTTGAATGGGTCGTTGGTGAGTTTTGTAAGAAAGGAATAGAGAGATGAAGTTGGCGAAGAGGAAAGAATCGGAGGGGAGACAAAGAGAGAGACAGACAGTGACGCGGGAAAACCAGGTCAGAGAGCGGCAGTTGGTCTGTGCTGTCGCCTGTCGTTGGCGTGTTAGGTAATTTTTCAGGTTGGAGCCGTTATGTTTGCCAGTGAAATCAATGATGGTTGTTGCTAATCACCGCATTTAATAGTTATTATTAGTATTGCTATTTACAACTTCTTTTTTTGGACATAATTCATTGGTATGATTGAATTGATTGTCAATCTCATTCAATACCAAAATTCGTCTTAATTCAATATAATAATAGTTGATTAGATACATTAAATTAAATTAGATCGTCAATTTATGTTCGAGGTATGATATTGGAAGTTGAATCAAAAGAAATTATTGAAATGATCAAATCAAATCATACCAGCTGATAAGCTCAAATGTAGTTAGGTTCAAGTCTAATTCATGGTTAAGTTCAAATCATTTTAAAGGCAAGTCAAATCTAGTTCATGGTCTTAGTCTAATCCAAGATTCAAGGAACCTAAAAAGTCAGCGTATGTGGAAAATAATTATTGGAATAGTTATTCTAAAAAATCAAGACTATCTCTAATTATACTTATCCGTAGTTGTAACTATCATCTCTGAAAAATTAGCAACATACTCTTCACACCACTGTCTCAACTAAAACTCTATGTCTATAAATTGTAAATTTTCTATACATGAGAGACATATTTCTCTCAAGCACGATCTCTCCACACCTGAAACTTACTTTTACTCTCTCTCTCCTACCGACTACTTTATCAGTAAAATCTTACGACCATCATCGCCGTTTTCAAAGTGGAGTAGGTCACCCTAATCAAACTACTCTATACATGTGTGTTGCTTGTGTTAATCTCATTTTTATATTTACTACATTTATTACGGTCAAGTCTAGCTTGTGGTCTTAGTCTAGTCTAAGATTCAAGGAACTTAAGAAGTCAGTGTACATTGGCAGTAATTATCGGGGTCGTCACTCTTAAATATCAAGACTATCTCTAATTGTACCTATTTGTAATTGTAGCTATACTCCCTGAAAAACTAGCATCATACTCTTCACACTACTGCCTTAAGTAAGACTTTGTGACTATAAATTATAAACTCTCGACACACGAGGAACACATCTACCTCAAGCACTATCTCTCCACACTTGGAACTTATTTTTTCTCCCTCTCTCCCATCGACTATTTTATCAATAAAGTTCTACAGCCACTATCGTAGCCTTTAAAGTGAAGTATATCACCCTAATCGAATCACTCTATACCTGTGTGTTGTTTGTATTAATCTCATCGTTATATTTATTATATTTTTTACTTATATTAATTAGTCGATGGATGGTGCATAAATTCACTTTTGTGCATCATCACCCCCCCTTCTTTGAAATTAGACATTTTGTTGATTATATTAAAAGATTCACAAATGGTGTAAATTAGTTTAAAGCTTCGTGGTACAAAAATTTGAGAATAGTGCGGTGTATACATTTGCCAAATATTTTACTTCATGTTCTGAATGTATTGTATGGAGAGATGAAGTCCCAGATTTTTTGGTACCCATCCTCCAAGATGATATTTCTATTCTTAACCAATGAAAGAATTTTCGTTTCATGTGAAAAAAATTTTGTTCAATACAAACTAACATGTATTTAAAATAGTAAATTGCTAAATTTATTTTTCTAATGGTTAAGTCACATCAAATTAGGATTCTAACTCCTATGGATTTGACAGATTGAGAGATGCAACAAGTTTAAATTTCGAATCTAAGCTTGATTTAAACATGAATTCGTCTAAAACCTTCCACCTAAATATCACATATATTTAAATTGTTGTATTCTTATTGAATCCGAGTTGAAATTTGGACTTGAATTTTAAGTTAGAAAAACTCTTTTAAAAAATTCATATTCAATTAAGATTTTTTTATCTAAACCCAGTCTATGTATTAAAGATTTCTACTAAAATAATCAATTTTTTCATGTTGATTTCGAGTTTACTTGCACCAAAATTGTATCCCTACATTAAAACCCTAATACATGACCAATGAATTTGAATACAATGATTTTATTAATATCAAAACTTTTTATCCATTTTGTTGTACCAAAACAACGTAAAATGAATTAAATTAGTTAATACTGTTAACTCTGAATGATCATCTTTCATTGACAATGAATGTGACAAAAATTGCTAAAAATATATATATAGAAAGTACAATTTCATTCATTTGAATCGTTTTCTCAAGCAAAGCCTATTTTCTTAAAAAATATTTTTGATTATTAATTTTAAAAATACAAACTAAATAGGCCCTAAAACTTTTTAATTTCTAAAAGTCAGACACAGTTGCTGAATCACCCTTAAATGAGTCATAGTCATCGGTGAACAGACTTATTAAAATTGTTAAATAAATAAATAAAATTTAAACTTGTTTAATTAAATAAGTTGACACGATGCCAATTGTATACGTGGCATTGATTCTAAAACCATTGTTGGAAGCACCATCATCAGGTGTTTGAAAACAATAAAGCCCACTCCCACCTTTCTATCCAACCCACATGCAGCAACCAAGTGGACCCCAATAAGTTTGGGTTTTGTGTTACTTTAGTTGTGTAAATCCCATTTTGTCCGCGAAAGATATCAAAATTTTCAGTTTATTTTTTAAATAATTAATTTTTTTTATATTGTCTTTAAAAAAAATAAAAAATAAAAAATTTATAATTTAATCTACTATCTTATTTTTGTTTGGTCATCCGTTTATTTTATAATTTTTGATTGATTGATTTAGTACAAAATAAAATATGTCCTTCATAGAGATTTATGTGTCGTTTGATAGAATGAAAAAATTAAATGTAATAAAAATAGGGAGATGAATCTTCCTTTTTTCATCCCAAAGTTTGGTAGAAAAGCAAAAGAAAGTTATGCATATGTATTTGAAATGTTGGCTATTTAGATAAACTAATTTTATGTGAAGATATGTTACTGAGCATGTACACTTTTTTCTTTTTCTTTTTTTCACTTTTTCATCTGTACCAAACATGAAAAAAAATCATTCTTTTTATTTTTCGTTCCCCCTATCGATCACAAAGTATGGCAAAAATGTTCCTCTTTACTTAAAAGATAGAAACTAAATTGTATATGTGTTAGAAATGTTGGTTATTTACTTTAATATCTCTTGATATATAACCAACATTTCTAACACATATACAATTTAGTTTCTATCGTCACCTTTAAGAGGGGTATATCCCTGAGAATTTATAAAGTCATCATCAAAATCAATAGTTGTGGATGTTTTCCTATCGTTTTCCTCAACTTTATTTTTTCCTTTGACTTTTATGACAACTGTAGGAGTTGCAAGAACCTCCATCTATGCATATAAACATGCATATTGTCAACTTGATTCATCTGGTGCATAAAAAAATGTACTTTATTCATCCGATAATGCATATGTTGCATATAAAGAGGCTTATTATTCCTCTAAATAGCTTATAGTTGTTACTAGTCCAATTCTTGAAGAAAAATTGTCATATAAAAATGACTGTAAAGACATTATTACAAAAGATAAATCTCTCTTAAGAATCCCTAGACCTTTAACATCACCTCCATATATGGAACCTAATTTTACTAATAAAATATCTAATGTCTTTCTTGATGTTATTAAAAGGATATATCCTTATGAATCTATGAAAAAATTATTTGACTTGTATAAAGACAAAAATTAAATCAATTTAAATTTAAAAATAATCATAAAAATGATTATGTAAAAAATATGAAAGAAATAAATTTTTTTGATATTGAGAATAAATTGTAGAATTGGGATATACTCCAGTACCACATTAAGAAAATTTATAATATTAGCACTTTTGATTTTAAATCAAGTTTAACAATTAAAACACTTGAAAGAACAATTCCTTTCGATCAGAATGAAGATGTTCTATAACTTTTAACAGAAAAAGAAGTCTTAAAGGCTCAAGATAATTATAAGTTTTTGCATATTGAATTAGTCCAAGTAACCTTAAAATCATTAACACTTCAAGGATTAAGAGATGCTAGGTGTCTTGATTTTGATCAATCCTTAATGAGAGTTATGCAGTCCTGTTTAAGTACTGGTCTTGTATATTTTAACTATTTTTCTAATCTTTATGTATATTTAAGAGATAATAATATTTTAGATGTTTTAACATGTAATATTAAAACTTATGGTTATAACTTTAAAGATGGGACAAAAATAATGACTTGTACCTATAGAGTATATTATAAAATTATGAATACTTTATGTCTTGAAGCTAAACTTCACAATTTAAATGATCAGAAATCCAATTTCCAGAAACTTGGCAATTAAAAACTTTGTGGTTCCTAAAAAATCATAAATAAATGAAGATATTGTTGAACAATCTAAAGAAATACAAGAAATAAGAAAATAGGAGGGTAGGGTTTTATTTATACTGCATAATTGAATTGAAATATAAGGAATTAATTTAACCTAAATACAAATAGAGTATATATAAGCTAAACAAGGTAAGAAAAGTAAATGACTATTCTACCCTTAATAAACAAAATAACCCTATATTTCTTAACATCTCCCCTCAAATTCACGATGCAGCAGCGACAAGCATCGAGAGTTTGCCAACTAGAAAACGAAAACGGAAAATAGAATGCGACTTGGTAAAGAAATCTGCAAAGAAGAAGAAACAAAGGGCAAAGTAATGGTGTCATGCTTGAGATAATGACGAGTAAGATGACAATCGATCTCAATGTGCTTAGTTTGTTTATGAAAAACTGAGTTGTGAGCAATCTGAATGGAACTCCAGTTGTCACAATACATAGGAGTGGGATGAGAAAGAGAAACTCTCATATCTGCAAGTAACCAACGTAACCAAACAATCTCTTTGGTAGTAGATGTCATAACATGATATTCTGCTTCGGTTGAAGATTGAGAAACAATAGATTGTTTCTTGCTCTTCCAAGAAATAAGAGAATCACCCAAAAAGATATAGAAATCAGTAACAGATTTGCGATCTGTGGGATCACTATCATGATTAGCATCAGAGTATGCACACAGCTCCAAGGAAGAGGTGGATAGAAGTAAAAGGCTTTGAAAGACTGTACCCCG